ATATTAGCATTACCCCTTTTGTTCCTGAGTTTTGCTGGGACTAAATGAGGGTGCAACTTCCAACAGGTGTCTTTAGTATGCTTGGGTTTCTTGCAATGTTCACATTACTAGATTCCGCTTGTCTTCCTTCTTTATATCCCTCTCCGTATCACCCCTGGATTTAGGTTTAACTGCTGCCAAGGCTAGTGGGAAGGGCTGATGCTACATCACAACCTTTCTCCTAGTCTCTTCATTGTGCACTAAAGAGTAGGCTTGTGATAGGGTCACACTGTCCCTTGTCAGTAGTTGCTGTCTCACAATCATACTTGGGATTCAGACCAGCTAGGAACTCAAAAACCCTATTAGTCTCAACCTGCTTTCTATGAGTGTGCATCCTTCTAGCTTTCCCACTCAAGTGTTTCTAGGTGGTCAATTTCATGCCACAAAGATTTCAGTGTAGAGAAGTAAACCGAGACTGGTTTCTCTCCTTGCTTAAGGTTGTTAACCTCACATTTCAATTCATAAGTCCCAGCAACATTTAAGGGGTTGGGAGTAGGTCTCTTTCATGACATCCCAAATTTCCTTAGCTGTTTTCGCCCACAAATAGTTCCGGCTGATATGTGGCTGCATAGAGTTGCACAACCATGTCATAACCAAATAGTTCTCATGAACCTATTTGGTATAGCTTTGGTCTTCCTTAGTTGGTTCTTTCACATCTCCCAACAAGTAGCTCAGTTTTCCCCTACCCCCAATGGCCATCATGGCCGATTGAGCCCATTCTAGGTAGTTTGATCCATCAAACTTAACTGTTGTAATCTGAAAGGTATTCTCAGACATGTTACCAGAATTGTTAATCCCAAAAACACCTTCCCCTTGACTCTTGAACTCCATTCTTGATCAAGAATTAATAAAAAAAAAAAACTTCTTTAATTACTGTAATAGGAGAAACAGCACCCAAACGACTTATAACAGCCGGCTTAGTTCTTCCAAAGAACACAGAAAACAGAATTCTGAATGAAACCAGCTCAAATTCTGATCTGAAACAAATAACAGTTCTGAATTTTAGGGTTTTCTCTCAAAACCCTAAAGAAAACACAAAAATTCTGAAGCCGCACCTCTCAGACTAAACCAAGATTATCTTTTCTGAATAGAATCACAAGAAAAAGCTTACTTTATGAAAAAATCTCTGGCCGCCACCTTCTGGTTGATGCAAAACCCTAATCTTGATGATCCGAAGCTTCTTCTAATTCTTCGTGACTACTAGAACTCTCCCAGACTTCTACAATCTCTTTAGTAGCAACCGCACACTACCAGTAACCTCCAAGAATCAACTGATCCTCCTTCCTTGTTGAAAAACTTTCAAACCTAGGTGGTTCTCATGCAGTCAGCCTAATCAGATTAGCATAAGAGCTCCTAGGTCGGCTTGGATACCAAGTAGTCGTTCTAGACTACAATCAGTCTTGAGTTAAAAAGAAAAAAGGATGAAAAATTGAAGAGAAGAAGAGAAGAGAGGAAGAAAAGTACATGAAGAGAGTTTCAGAAAAGAGAGAGAGTAGGTCATAATTTCTGCCGACCCTCTCTTAGTATTTATAACTATTGGCCAACTGTAAAAGGGATGAATTGCCCTTATTACTTACATGGCAAATAGAATAAGAAATAACTAATAATAAAGCTGAAATAATTAACTGAAATAACTACCAACTAACACTGTGGGGACCACATCAGTGTTCTTTACAGGTACCCAACCTCTTAAGGATCTTTTTTCCCTCTCTATTCTCTCTCTCCCTTTACAAAAATGAGCCAATTTCCAAGTTTCTCCCTGGTCCAATACTTCCTTTGTCTTTAAGTTGGGACTTTGGCTTTTGTAGGGGATTAAGGGATGATGAGCTGGTTTGTGTTTCTGAGTTGCTTCTTTTACTCGAATCGATTTGTTTGGACCCCACTTAATCTGATCAAAGAGTTTGGACCCCCCCCCCTTTCCAAAAGGAACCTTCACTTGTGCTTCCTTTTTGAAATCCCTCTTGGCCAACCCTAACCCTCAAGTGTTTCCTATTAAAGAAGTTTGGATAAGACCTTTTCCCCCCAAAATTGTTGTTTTTTGTTGGGAAGTTTTCTACGGGAAAATCAATACTTTGGAAAACTTGCAAAAGAAGAGACCTTCTCTATGCCTTTCCCCTAATTGGTGTTTCCTATGCAAGGCCCAGAATGAGAACTGTTTCCATCTACTAATTTCTTGCTCCTTTACTGCAACCTTATGGAGTTGGAGCTTTAGTTTATTTGGGTGTAGGTGGAACCCGCCGTCTGATGTAAGTATGTTGTTTAATCCGTCTACCTTTGGGTGGCACACAAGAAGAGGTAAAATCATGTGGAAGTGTATTAGGGCAGCTATATTATGGACTGTTTGGGAGGAAAGGAATGCTAGAACCTTCCTAGAGAAGGAAAGAAGCTTGGCTGAAGTGAAGGACTGTATCTCAACTAGAGTAATCCATTGGTTGAAGACCTTGTCTTTGTTTGCTGAATTCTCTTTCGATGATCTTTGGAGAAACTGGCTAGAAGTGGCTAACACTTCCACTAAAAAGAATAGAAGCATGGTAGAGTGGGAACCTCCCCCAGAAGGTGTCATTAAATTGAACTTTGACGGGAACAGCCAAGGTAATCCTGGTTCTTCAGGAGTAGGGAGCGTTCTAAGGAATAAGGACAGCAACATTATCTCATTATTCTCAGGACCGGTGGGAGTGGGAGACTCTACAAGAGCTGAGTTACTAGCTATTGTTCAAGGGATTCAGGTTGCTAACCAACTTGGGGTGGAACATCTTCTAATTGAAGGAAACTCTTAGGTGGTAGTAGGGTGGCTGTAAAATCTGAACACTGCCATATGGGGAAATAGAGATCTCCTCAAAAGAGTGAAGTGGCTGACTAGAACTATGAGAGTGGATGTTAAATGGGTAAGCAGGTCCGCAAACACTATGGCTGATTCTTTGGCCAAGCAAGGGGTATCCAGGGAAGGTCTTTTTTGGGGCATCTTTGTAACTTATTCTAGTAAGTAGGGAAAGTTGTATTTGAATATTCTAGAGAGGTAGCATCTCGTGCCTCTCCTTGGGATGCTTATACTTCTTACCTTTGGTATTTAATAAAATTTATTCAATTATCAAAAAAAAAAAAGGCATATAGACCTAATTAAGAATATGTATGAGGGGCCAACAACTAATGTTAGAATACCAGTGTGAGAGGCTTCGGATTCTACAGTTACAATGGGTTTTCACCAAGGTTCAGCACCTAGCCCTTATCTATTTGCATTGATCCTAGATGAATTGACTAAACATATTCAGGAGAAAGTTCCATGGTGCATGTTCTTTGTGGATGACATTGTTTTAATTGATAAAACTAATAAAGGATTAAATGCAAAATTAATCTTATGAACAAATGCCTTAGAAACAAGAGGTTTTAAAATAAGGACTAAAACAGAGTATATGACAATCTGTAAATTTAGTAATAATAAGAGTGTAAATCAAGATACACTTAGAATTGGAGACCAAGAGATAACTCAATGTGACCATTTCCGGTACCTTGGTCCAATAATTCATAACAAGGGAGAGATTAAAGAGGGGTGCATCTGGCTTTTTATGTAATAGGTGAATACCACTTAAATTAAAAGGAAAATCCTATAAAACAGTTGTGAGTCCAAGCTATGTTGTATGGAGCAGAGTGTTGGGCAGCCAAGAAACATGTCCAGAAAATGAATGTTGCATAAATGCAAATGCTAAGATGGATGAGTGGAAAAACTAGAAAGGATAGGATTAAGAATGAAGTTATCTGTAGGAACCTAAGAGTAGCTCTAATAGGTGATAAAATGAGAGAGAGTAGACTAAGATGGTTTGGGCACATGCATAGAAGACCATCTACTGCATCAATTAGAAGTAATTTGTTACACATTGAAGGGGCTAAAAGAGCTTGGGATAGACCAAAAAGGACATGGGTAGAAGTAGTAAGAAATGGTTTAAGCATTAATAATTTAAAAGTGCATATGGCTTTAAATAGAACGGATTGGTGAAACAGGATTCATGTAGACGACCCCATATAATTGGGATCAAGGGCAGTGCCAAGTATATTGTTGGGGGTCCCCCCCCCCCCCCCAAAAAAAAAAAAAAAAATGAAAGTCCCGCTAAAATGTTAATGATCACTTTGTAATACTCCAACCTCTAAAATAAAAAAAAGGTTTATTTTTTCTTAAAAACTCTAATAGATCTAAACCTTTATGCTCCATTTCTTTCCAAACACTACTTTATCTACTCCCCATCTCATTTTCTTGTCTAACTTGGCCCCCCCAAAAGAAAATTTCTGGCTCCTCCACTGGTTGGGATAAGGCATGGATGATGTTGATGATTTTTCTTTTATTCTATTTCAAGTAGGTTATAAAACCCAAATGCAAGGTAGATGTGTAAAATATGACCAACAAAACCTTAAAACCCAGACAACCAACTCAGGCCCGAGTTCATCCCAAGTTAATGTTGGGTTTATTTCAAGTGGCACTCCTAGTGGACATAGTTCATTCTTTTGCTTATTTTAAGATTCTTTCATGTCTCTTATAAGATCTTTCTATACTATGATGTCAACAAATTTAAATTTTTAAGAATGGCTGAGAATACAATATACTACTTGGCTTTTAGTCTTGGGTGGACAAATGAAGCCTTTGTGCTTCATCTTATTTGCTTCTGAAATTGGGTTCTCATTGAGAAACAGTGAATCCTTATGCTAAAATGACCTGAATTGGTGGTTGTTTCTCCTAATTATGGGGAAATTGTCATCAGATTAGGTTTGCCTGCATGTAAGATGTTCTTCCTTTATTTTTTCTCCTTTGTTCTAAAACCATTTAAAACTGTTGTTGCAGCTGTCACAAGCCCCTTTGGATAAAAGACCAAATTATGATGCAATTCAGGGAGCAAATGTGACACCAACCACATTTTATAATATTGGGGACTTCGAGATTCAGGAAAACCTAGCACGCATATGGTATGAGCCTCAATTGTAACTAACAAACTGGATATATTATGGTATCCATTCTTTTATACATCTAGATTTTAGTTCCCTGTAGAAGAAAATGAGAGACTAGTTATTACAGTTTTTCTAGTGATGTTTTTCATAGAATTCCTATTGATGAATCTGATCAAATTTTAACAGGGTGGATATTGGGACTAGTGAACCACTGCTTCTGGATGTTTTGATAAATGCCTTGACACAGATAAGCTCCGAGTAAGTCTCCCAAGGACGGTGGAATTTTCTTTTCTGATTCAGTGATGAAGATTTCCATCTAACTGAAGGAAAATGATTTATGCTGGTTGGTCTAACTAGGGCTGCATTTGGTTGCATGTAAAACAAAATGGTTTCCTCAGAAGATGATATTCAATAGGAAAATAAACCATTTCCCTAATTTTTCCTGATTTTTGGCTCAACTTAGAAAAAAAGATCATGAATAGTTGATAATTATATGGGTTTTGTGAGATCTGAATCAAGCAGACCCTCTGTTCAGAAAATGACAGAGAATATTAGAATGAATGTCACATCCCTATGGCTACATCTAACTTTTTTTTTGTGAAAATTTCCGTTTTCCACTGCCATTTTACATGCAACAACCACCATAAACTTTGGGTCTTTGGTAAACCATTTGCTTCTTGTTATCTTCTGTGCAATTGAACAGAGCTTAGATTTTTTTCCCTGTTTATATAGGTAGACTGTGGACAGAAAGGTCATAAATTTTACCTTGATCGAGGGGCATTACTTTGCCGTCACAACTAGATGTCAAAGAATAGGAGCACCTATGGCCCATGAATTCTCAACCCCACATCCCACCCTCCTCTTTTTTTTACCCCAAAGGTTGCTAGGTATTTGATAATGGTAATTTATGGGCCTTATGGCGCTACTAATTCTGACTAAAATGTCAACTCTATAGCTAGCACCACCCTTTCTGTTCAAGAGAAATTGGTATAATTAAATTGGGGTTGAATATATGGGCTATACGGTATTCATATACTGAACTGAGTGAGATGGCACAACATGATTCGTGTATAGTTGGTACAAGGTTTAGTTGGATTGAGTTAAATGTATTGACTATTCAACAACTTTGCTTAGTTGGCAATAATTTTGTTATTTTGTTTATGTTCCATGAATAATATTTCTTTGAGTTTAGAGTTTTTCCAATTTGTTGCTTGCTTTAATATCCGCAGCCTTGAGGCTCTGCTTTGTATTCATTGACCCCCATTTTTTTCTTTCTTGGCAGCTATATTGGAATAAAGCAGGTGGCATTTGGTGGGTCTGAATTTGAGAGCTGGAAAGAGGATTTGGCATCAGAGGATGCCGGCTGTAGTGTTCACAAGATTTAAACCACTTCCCATCCAAATGAACCATGTCATGAGACCATGGAAACAGAGAATGAAGAACAATATGCAAGTGTTAACCCTACATGCTACTAGCCTGAAATAGTTGAGAAGGCACCGATTATGATGCAAGGAGGCGTTTGTAAATCTACAACCAACTATAGGAATACACACTTGATAGAATGTAGACCTTTTCAGAATGTAAATCTACATAAGGAGTTGATTTACAAAATAGAATGTAGACCCTTTTTTATTTTTTTTCCCAAGGATGTAGACCTTTTATCTCCTTCTGGTCAAGGAGCAAGAATGTAGACTTGATTTACAAAACAGAATATGTAAAATGTGTTTCAACTTTCAAATCTAAAATCCGAAGATAGGAAGGCATCTGTGTCCAAAAAACGCCAATTTGACTCATCTGTAATCCTTGTACTAGGGCAGTTAGATTAGAATTAGACTATCTATGATGCCGGAAAGGTATTAGTTAGTTCTGACCAACCAACACTCCACCCCCGGTGAATTTTGTTGAATACTAATTGATTGGTAAATACCGATTGGTTGCTTATAGGTACAGGAGTACATGGGATCAATCGGGAGCATGGTTGGTGAGAATCTGAGATGATAGAACCTAAATTACTGGGCCCTGCTTCATAGATTATAGGTCAAGCTATTTCAAATCCTTGGTTGCCCAAGTGAACCTATCTCTGTTCCCCATCATCCATTATCATCAAATAAGAAAGATCCATCATCAGGCCGTTTTGCAATTAATTGTTCACCCTAATCATATGCACATGCAAAACACAACCAACAGAACAATCTGATCCTATTATCAACTCCTGCCGGTGTGAGTTTGTCTTACATTGCCGGTGCAAACCTAGATAAAGGAGGGTTGCATCAAGTTGACGGACGATACTAAAACTTTTGTCAAATCCTCATGAATATGAATATTAATGATGCTCAAATTTAAATACATTGAGAGATCAAATCATCAAAGTAAAAAGGGACCCCCTTGGCATCTTCAACTGGCAATATGCTAAGGCTCAGTTTGAAAGGAGTACAAATGCAAATATGTAGAGTGCAAAATCTCATATTTTGTATTATTTTATATATATTTGCACTGTATATATTTGCATTTATACTCTTTCCAAACTGAGCCTTAAAGACTATTTAATTTCGTCACACCTCTCCTCAAGCCATCAAACTATAGTGCTTAAACACATGGAACAATTTTAGTCATCACTTGAGCTGCTAAACAGTTGATTTTCGATCGGTATAGATCTCTTTGCTAAAATCATGATTCAAAGTATTAATACACCTTTATGTATTGGTAGAGGTGTATAAACATTTTAAACTATATGCCTTCTATTTATATTTATATATATATATATATATATATATATATATATTATTTAATAAAAAATGAATTCCCAAAAATACCTGTAAACATGTGTATCGTATGGTACCGTATCGATGCTTTGAACGTTGGCTGAAATCTTGAAGCACATAAAAGATGATACAACTTACTTATTAAACAAGCACTAGTAATCAATTGTTATAATAAAGAAAATAAAAAGACAAATGAGCTACATGTTTTGGCATCCAATTAAAGGCTACATATTTACAAACGTGCCCCAGATCTTTCCAATTTAAAGTCTGCATGTTTTGGCAGAGCTGGAACCTCGATTGACTGTTGGAAAAAAATCTCACCAGAGGCTTCACATACGATGCCAAAATACCTTCTCTGCAACCAACTTGATCTCTTTCATCCGTTCATCAACTATCTGATGCAACTGTTCCTCTTGATTTTGTCAATCTCCACCCTGCTCACCTTTCCACCAGCTTCGGGCCGGAACATTACAAATGTCATACCATATTACCATGGTCATAACTCATAATCATTTGGAACTTCAATTAGCTGCTTCCCACCAGTCTCAGACTCTTTCCAAATATTTCAGCCTTGATATGGTCTAAAATAAAGGCCATGTAATTTTCCATGTACTGTTCGATGGAACAAAGACCAAGATATATGAGAACATCCCGGCATTGGTGAAATTGTTTCTTGTTGATCTTCAATTTTTTTTTCTTACATCCTCTGCTAAACCAGCAAGTGGATTGAGTTAAGTTTATTAGTCTCTTTTGAAAATTTTCCTTGCTTAGATTTCGTATATTTATAAATTTTTCATTTATCCAAGTACGTGTATTTATCCAATTAAACGTTTCCCAAGTAATACCTATTGGGATAAATTCACCATATTCTTTTGATTCCCAAATAACTAATATAATAACCTTTTACTTATAAAAAACTAATGTTAAAAATGACAAATCTGTCCCATCATGTTTTATAAATTTTTCCTCTAAATGGAAAATTTATTTACCCACATAGGAGATTGATAAGTTTTAGCCAAGTAAATGAAACTCTCTTACCATGGGTCCAGTACTTAATGTAAAAAGAACATAGTAAAGTTGGTCAATTAAAACCCATCGACCAACTTTCCCCCTCTTATTTATCATTATACAAACGGAGTCTTATAAAAAACAACCAAATTAATTGCTGGTTGGATTTAGTCAAAGGCATGTCTAGCGGTGTCAATCAACCAGTTTAACCTTATCAAATCAGATTTGGACAGTCCATTATAATTAGGGATAAATAGACTGCAGTCCAGCTCAAAAATCTGAAATTACAGCCCCCTCCTATTCTACTAGTAGCCCCCATATAAACCGCATCCTGGCCGTGGATTTGGCATCAATTCACGATCAGGATTCATCCCACCTGTATGGTGGGGCTCAGATTTTTGAGGTGGACTGAACAATCCAAAATAAATTGGTCCATATTAAACACTTTTAAGAAAGAACTTTAATAAAAGTATTTTTATAAAAGTCCTTTAACGAAAGCACTTTTATAAAAGCACTTTTACAGAAGTACTTTTACAAAAGCACTTTTATAGAAATAATTTTATAAAAGCATTTTTATGAAATTATTTTTACAAAAGTACTTTTATAAAAGCACTTCTACAAAAATACTTTTTATAAAAGCACTTCTAAGAAAGTGCTTTTGTAAATCAAAAGCACTTATACAAAAGTACTTTTATAAAAGTACTACAAAAGTACTATGAAAACACTTTTATGAAGTACTTTCATAAAAATACTTTTGTAAAGCACTTTTTAATAAAAAATACTTTCAAAATACTTTTGTGAAAGCACTTGTAAAAAAGTGCTTTTTCAATGCCAAAAGGGTATTTTTTTTTTGTAATTTTCAGATTTTCTTCATTTTAATATATTTTTATAATTTTTTATATGTTCTATTTTTATATAATTTTCGATATTTTATTTGGTTTGGATTGGATTTCCAATCCATTTACATTTTAATGGATTGAATTGGATTTGGACTGGATTGGATCTAGTCCATTTATAAGTGAACTCACATTAAACTAGATCGGGTTGAACCAAATCCAGTCAAATTGACGCCTCTAGCCTCCAATCACCATGAAAGAGGCCTTGACGGTAAGCTCTATTCCATTATTCGTCCCTCAAGAGTTTCCTGTTTAGATTATGTGACTGTTCTAGAATTTAAGCTGGATCCATTACAAGGATAGAGTTTTGGATTGATTTTATGTGGGTTTGATCATTCTGAACATTCCGACATTTATTTTTGATACTTTATTATAGTCTTTTTCTATTTGTTGCTGCCGGCATTGATAAAACATAAAAGGTTTGTTTGTAATCGATCTCTGAAAGAGCTTGTGGATTATAGTTTCACTTGAAAAGAATTCTAGGAATGCGTATGGTGGATTAATGGATTTGCTACTTACAGCTCATGTAGAACCCGGATCTGTTACAGATCTATCGGATAGACGATGATGTCTAGAGTGCTTGTGCATGATCTTTCTCTTTACATTCCTCTTATCTTATGTACATGGTTTTCAAAACAGGACCGGACCAGAAAAACCAGAAACTGGTCACTTGACCGGTTCCGTTTTTCCTCAAAACTGTTGATTTTGGTCAACAAACCACTAAACCGGCCGATTAACCATTCGAACGGTTTTGACCGTTTTTCAATTTTTTTTATTTTTTTGTCAGAATGGACCAGTCGTTTGGGTCGAACGGTCAGACCGTTCAAATCGGTAACCGGACCCCTGACCGGTTCGGTTTTAAAAACATGCATAACTTGTGTCAATAGACCATACCAGTCCAACCTAGTCCAATATAAATTCATTACAAATGGAGCAGGTCCAATTCAATCTAATAAAGGTCCATTTGGTTTGCAGTTGGAATCAGAATGGAATCAAAATCCTCCAGATTGAAATCAGAATGGTCTATTCCAATAATCTATTTGCTTCAGACAGAAATGAGAATGGGAATTAGAATTAACAAGAATGAGATTTCATTCCCAAAAGAGGAGCAAGGAATGGTCACTCTCAAATGGGAGAATGCAATGGAAATGGGATTCCGATTTCACCCAACCAAACAGTTGGAATCAGAATACCCATTCCGATTCCAGACTCCTATTCCCACGACTGTTCAATTCAATATCTCTTATGGGCAAGGTGCCAACTGCTGGTTGTAGCGGAGATTTGGGATCAAATCTCACCTGCACCTGGGTTGGGGGTCGATGAAAAGCATAGAAGTAGAAGAATTTGGGGTCATTTCCAGTTCTTTTTGGTGTAAAAACCTGGGGCCCAGTTCCATGGTGAGATGCAGTGTCAGATCATGTTGGTAGTGTATTGGAACTTGTTATGTTGGCAGGAGATCCCAACTCCCACATTACAGGGTACTAAACTATGCTGTATTTCTACTTTTTTATGTGTAGAATAATAGAAAAAAAAATTATTTTCTTTTTTAGTTATTGAGCTTCAAACTTTCCTTTTTATATAGCTTATATATCATCAGAAGCACATAAATCAACTGATGGTGGTTCAGTTGATAACCAAAAAAACTCACATTAAGTTCTTTTTTACTACATTTTATTATTGAATTTATTATTGAACCAAAACAATTCATTAAACAAATCTACATAAAATTAAATTAATAAAAACAAAGGAAAAAACCTGATAACCCAAGGAAAGGAGCAATGATTTATTTAGATTGGTTCATCCCATGTACTAGTGGGCAATTTTGGGTTTTTAGACATTAATTTGGGTCCAAACTAAGGTTCATATTTAGATTGACCGTTAACCCAACCCAACCCATCTAATTTACACCCTACTTTATTAGAAAGAGCCAAAAAAAGGGACTATGAGATATATAAGAGGAAAATAAGGATTTAATAGGGAGTTACAAACATTGACTATTAATATGTGTGTGTGAGAGAGAGTAAGAGAGACAGAGAGAGAGATTTATTAGAGAGTAAATATGAACTTTCTGAGAGACAACAAAGACCCATGAAATTTTTAATGATTTAATATAAAAATAAATATACACTGTAGTGAAAGGAGAGGATGAGGATGAGGAGGCATGTGTGAGCTCTGTGGTGAGAGTTCCCTCACCTCCCTTCTTTCCTCTTTCTATTATATATGTAAATAGATTTGGGATTTAATGGAACAATAGAAAATGTTACAAACATTAATTGTTGGGGAAAAAGAGAATGATTTTATTACCGAGAGTAATAATAGATTTTATTAGAAACTATTATGACCACAGAGGGTTTTATTTGAGTAATGGATGGGTTTTATTAGAAACAATCATGACTGGAGAGGGTTTTATTTGAACAATGGATGGGTTTTATTAGAGACAATCAAGACTGGAGAGGGTTTTTTATTTTCACTTCTTATATTTTTTATCATTTAATCTAAAAATAACTAACCACATCCACATGTGTGAGAAATGAGAGGAGGTATGTGGGGAGCTTTGTGGGGTGGGGGGGTGTGTGTGAGAGAGAGAGAGAGATGTAGTAGGTATATGTACAAACACAAAATGTGTTCTAACCTCTAACAATTTATAGAAAACTTCTTCAATGGTTAGTAGACATTAAAGAATATGGAAACCAAGTTGGTTACTCGAAGACTATTAGATTATAAGAATTAATTACATGTAGCACATTGATTTAAAAAACAGCCTAGTGTACATACCACATATTTCCAACTCCAGGACTATTACATCAGCCCGTTCGGAGCAGGTAAATAGCCGAAATCGTTGAATTGGTCAGCAACATGCATTCAGCATCATTCAAAGACATTTGATGACGATGAAGATGATAATGGTGACATATCTTAATATCAATTTTTCTCAATGTATTACATAGAGATTGTATTATTGTGAAAAGAGTTTTCTTCAAGAACATCAGAAGAGGGGAGCTGGGGAGAGACCTTTTTTGTTTCCAATATCTGCCATGATGCTTCAGTTCTTACTCCTTGTAAGTTGTGTGGTGTTCGTCTTCCTTAAAAAACTGAAAATTATCACCCCAAAGTTTTGATCATTGCAATTGCACTACTCTCTTGCTCCTGAAGTCAGCTAACCAAGTCACTTTAGTTACTTGCCAAACCTTAGTGTCAATGTAATTTCACAAACCAACAAATTATTCCCTGGCTTTAAGTATCTATCTGATTTCATAAGGCAGCAAATTATCGCACCATATCTGTCAATTCTGTATTCACGGCCATACCCAATCGTCGTCTAAAAGCTGCCTACACCTCAATTGATGCTATCCCTCAAGTAAACCATATTAACTTAACTAATTCATAGAGATGACAGAATTATCTCCACTAAGACCTCACTGGTAACAAGAACCTAGTGCCGGAAAGCCTTTAAACCATATACCATTACGGGAAGAACATGGGGGAAGGGGTTGTATTATCTTCTCAAAACATTCAATTTTGCATTCTAAAGAGCACAAAAAAGGGCATGGTTTGAAGCACTTGTTCCAATGTGAAGTATATTTTCAGTTAAAAAACTGCTTGACACTTTAACAGATCCAAAACTCTTCAATGAAGGTTTTTCTCAGAGCTAAATTTCACACTATGAATCTATTGAAATGAACATAACCAAAAGATTAGATACCTCTAGAAGCCACATAAGAACTTTATTGCATTTTGTTATATAATGTTTATGGACCTTTTGGAGTCAAAATACATTTAGGAGCGTCAATGGTAAACACCTAAGCTCAAACAGAACCCTGCATATCTAAATGTCTTTCCATCAGCATACTATGAATCATTAATGCTAAAATAAGTAATTAATTATCCACCAGGCACCCTCAGCTAAAGTCAAAACCTTGAGGGGGTCATATTCTAACAAAACCACAATCAAAAGAATGATGATGATCAACCTCCGCCCATGAAAACCTCTAGGTTACTAGCAGCCAAAAAGCTCGCATTCCCTCTCTATCATTTTGACTTCCTATATTATTTAATTTCCCTGGCCTACCAGTGGTAAAGTCATTGAAGCATGGCAGAATCACTTCTTTCAGCATTCATGTGCCTTAAGAGGCTTATAGGGTCTTGAGCAACACTTAAGTTGAACTGTAGATTGCATAAAAATTTCATTCACACAAATTGGAAATAGTAGAATTTCTGAAACGAGGCTCAAATCCTTGAGAGTGACAGAGACAGAAGGGGTGGTAGAAGATGTGGTGGTAAGCTGGGAGATGATGAAATCTGAGAGGAATTGCCATCAGGGGTACTGTGGCATTGGAAATTGGACTTCTACCCTTCTTTTCTAACATATGTATCACCTTGCCAGAAAGCAAGGTACATGGCACTTGTTAACTTAAGAAATGTAGCTCTCCTAATGCTGCTGCAACTTAGAACTCCAGGCAATACCATCTTTTAACAGACCTTACCAGAACCTATGGAGAATCAGCTGGCTAATATACATTCGTCAAATAACATCAAAATCACTGGTATATGCACCTTACCAAGAAAGACAAAAAAAAAAAAAATCATTAGCATGCATCAGTGATACATGACCATGCTTCTGATCCCAATTAACAGACATTTGACTCTTGGAAATTTTTGCAATACAACCATTTCACCCAGGAACGAGCATAAGATCGGAATGCACAAATAAGAGGAAATACGACTTGTTATAGTGACAATAATAATAATAATACCCCCAGTAAAGATGGGAGCTTCCTCATGGACTAAATCTCACGCACCCTCCCAAAATCAATCATATCCAAACAATAGCATCAGTCATCAAATCTTAAAAGGAAAGGTAATTTCCAGTCATAAAGAAAACGAAATCTACATAAAGAAATCCAAACCACATAAAGAGCATAGTCATCTCTGTACACTAGATACCGAACCGAAGACTACATGGAAACCAAAAGCGTAATCCAGTTAATTTACATGTATGTTCTTCAAATAGAAGGCAGAGCTCTATCTGATAATTACATTACATAAATCTTAACATAACAGGAATTACCCACATGAGACCGCACAATTCTCTTACCCTCTGGCCTTGAGCTCGGCGAGGCGCCTTGACAAATCGTCCTCGTCTGCCTTCTCCGCCGTTCTGGTCGGTATCGCTTGACCTGCCGGTTGGGGCAGCCCCACCGAGACCTCCAAGCCATAATCATCTGCCACTTGCTGCATCAAGCTGTTGACCTCCCCTTCGGGAGTTGATAGAGACGTGCTTCCAGCCATGGAACTCTCCATGAATTCGGCCTGAACCTCCATGTTGACAAACTGCTTCTCGAACTGATCCATCGTCTCTGACATCTTCTGCAAATTCCCGGAAGCAAGAGACGAATCGAGAGCTTTCACAATCGAACCCATCGATTTGCTAATCGTAGTCATCTTTGCCTGCGTGTCAAGCCGAGCAACGACGGCATCAAGACGAGACGCCAACCTAAGGTAATTCATCTGTTCATTACGCTTGCGGATGGCGTTTTCGGCGTAGATTCGAGCCCCATCCATGTTTCCCTTCTCGATTGCCTTCTTGACTTTGAGTTTCTCGGCTTTCTCGTCCTTCTCGCACTTGCGGGCCTGACGTTGCAGACTCTTGGATGTGAACTTAAGTTCCATGATCTGATTCATGAGCTTCTCTGTATTTCCCATGGCTACTGATCTATGTTTTGATCCCCGCCCTTCAAGGCTTCAACTGCTAGGGTTTTTCTTCTCTGGCAATCTGGCTGACAATTAGCCGAAAAATCCTTGTATCCCTCCGGTGGATAATGGATAATTTGTAAATATTCCCGGGGCGCAAGTGCGAGACGCGTTAGGGCTTTCTATTTTTGTATCCTCCCCAGGTGAGAACGAATCAGCCCCCCACAACGTCCTACAGCAGAGATGTTTTCAATACACGGCGAGGATATTTTCAACTGTGAAAAATTTACATCTACGCCCCACAAACACCGCACAGCTATCTCAACTGTATTGGAAACATCTCCCACCGATGACTTCGAGAGATGTTTTCAATGCACGTTGAGATGTGCATGTGTAGCGTTTGTGGGGACGCAGATGTGATCTCACTTGTGCACATAAATACGTTAACGTTACCCCCCACTCACTTCATTACATGTCCGCTGTTGTGCACTCGTCCTTCGTGGAAGGTGGTGCACGCAATTTCTGAATGGTGGAAACTGAAAAAGAGCCCATCAACCCAATCAATTAGGGCCCGGCACGGGCTGGGCTTGAATTTCAGTAATCAGTAGGCCCAGTGGACCAGTCTGACCGTAAAATTGGACGGTTGGATCAGCCCAATCAATTAATTATGGCGCAGACACGCTCTCATGTAGTCACGTTGTCAGGCCCATAGGGCACTGCCTTTCCCGTTCCGTTTATTTTGGACGAACTGAGTTGCACATTTGGGAAGCCAAGACAAGCATCGGCACTGTATTGCAAAGGAATTAGGGAATAAACTCACATCACTTTTCAGTATTTTTGTTGATTTCACATAACTTTTTAAAACGTCCTAGGACCCATGTGAGTGATTTTTTGTTTTTCAAAACTCATTATCCGTTAGAGCATCATTAGTGTTTATTGATAGAAATTGTTCATCACGGAACTTTTTAAAACGTCCAATGACCAAATTGCCCCTAAATAACAGTACAGTAGTGGGTGTGAATGTACCTGTGAATTCTTAAACCATCACATGGAAATTGGATGTATTGGTGGTCGGTACAATAGTGGGTGCTCTTCAAGAAGCTATGGACCTCTTCTTTGAGCTTCATACTATATAAGCCTGATCCTGTGATGGTGATTGGTGGAACTGAAGGCCATTCATCATTCTCTGGGCTGATGGCAATTGCATCAACGATGAACTTGGCAAAGAGTTCAGACTAGGCCCTTGAGCGCCAAAGATGGGTTGGGTAGAGGGTGATGAACCTCATTATGCTGCTGATCTTGATGCAATTGACTTCAAATCTTACACTTCTAGGTCACATCATGTTAAGATGTGTCAAGGAATTTGCATTTGAAGTCGTTGGTGAACGAGAAAAGGCATCCAAATAATTTGATACAGAACCTAACAAAGACAATGATGGTGAGGGAAGACTGATATGGTAAGGAGTAGTGAGATGTAGATTAGATATACATGATGACCAACATAACTGGAAGAGTTCAAGATAGAGGAGATTGACTCAGGCCATGAATCATACTCCTCATCACCACCGCTTGAAGATTGAATACTTCTACTGTTACCAAAATCCACGACTCTAGAGAGTTTTAAGAGAGCAATAAAGAGAAGAGAAGAAAATGGCAGGAAGAAGAAGGGTTAAGTGTATAAATGAGAGAGATCTTCTAAAAAATGTGTTTTGTAGAGGTTGTAGGGGTTTTATCGAGATTGCAATCCCAAATAAGTGAAACCTGCAAAAGAACTCATGAAGTAAATCAATAGAGATCTTCTAGAAAAAGGTCCGTAGTGAGTGGAAAACTGATCAACAGGACTATGTTTTAGAAAGTACCATGTCTTTAAAGCTCTGATCAGCAATGGAGACAAACTTTTCCCTTTCCCCTTTCATTTTCTCCTACTCTCTTTCAAATAAAACAAGAGGTGTATGAAATAGAAACAAAAGCAAACAGCCCAGCAGATCTTAAACTATAGAAGAGGAGAAATAACAAAAGCTCCTCTGTTTCGCTTACATGGATTTAGTTCAACCTTGGTTTTTTTTAGAGAAGAAAAGGAAAAGTGAGAGAAATGACTTCTACTCACGTTTCCACTTGCCATCTCCTCGATTGGGTAGGGTTCCACTTTGAGTTTGAAGGCGCTTAAGCACCTATTTTACAATATTCTATAGTCACAACCACCAAATCAACGATCTGCTTTTGTCTCACTGGCAATACGAAAATAATCGCCACCATCAGATAGCAGCATTCATTTCTTCTCCGGTAGTGATTATCTTCTTCATCTCAAGCAATGTTAGAAGATAAAACAACGGTGAATATAATAAAAGGGTAAAATAGTAATCTCCTAACATTTGTTAGTCCGTTTAACGTCAAAATACTGACACGGGATTCTCTAGATGTTTTGAAAATTTATGGTAATTTAAGAGAAATGTTGAAAAGTTATGGTAAATTTTAGACAATTTACAATGAGTCAGAATCTGCTTACAAATAATACTAGTATGTACAGCATGTGGTGTCATTATAAAGAACAAGTCTGAATCTGTTCTTCACAGAACATGCCTCATGCTGGAAAATATTCCCAATACAAGGTGGGATGTGATAGTAAGGTAGGTGTGAAAGACGCTATGTGAGGAATTATCCCAATTCGTAAAGAACCAAGGGTCTATTTAATTTGCAGGGGGTTTGGAATCGGAATGGCAAATTCTAACTGTTTCATTGGATTATATTTATATGTGATTCTAGCTTTCTTTACTACCAGAAATAACATTTTGGACTTCCCTTAAAATGATAATCTCATTCTAATTGGACATGAAAAATAATAATTCGGATTATTAAATGCTTTACATGTATAAGAGGTTGTGGGACTAATAAGAATGCCCCACACCGTTGATAAAATACATGGGTCCACATTAAAAGGTTGAATGGTTGTGGGTTATATGTGGAGTGTTATAATTTGTTTCACTCCGATTGAACAACTATTATGTTTAGTTAATACAATTTTAGAAAATAAAAAGATAAATGTGCAAGTTTCTTAAACAGTTAAACAATTCTTACTATTTAGCTAATTGACAAATTTTCTATTCAACTATTAACTATTGTCTTAAACCATCCATACTGTTTTACCCTTTTTCCCTCCGCCCAACCAGAATCACACGCTCGTCTGAAGCACTTTCTCTCTTCCCTCTTCTCTATCGTAGCAAGATGTCGAATATGAATATAGGTTTGCCACCGCCTCCGTCTTCTACATCATCGTCTTCTTCCGAATAGGAAAAAAGTTGCAGTTACTTATGTCCAAAGCCATAAGCTTATCTGAAAACATGAGCATCGGAGAAATTCCGTACTGAAGACTATTGAAGGCCAATTTCAGCTCCGTTAATGCTTTTAAGAGCAAAAAGACAAGTAGGGATTCCTCCCACAATGGAGTTGCTAGCAAGGTTGAGAACTGTGAGAGATTGAGGAAGTGTTCCCGAGAACACGTTTGAAGCGCGATTGAGGTAACATTTGGTGAGAATCACGCAGGGGCCCAAACAACAAGTAGTTGGAGATGTCCAAATACTTCAGCGGTTCAAGGTAGAATAAGTTCTCAGAAATCTTCCCTCGAAACGAATTCATCCCCAAGTTGAGCTTCCAAAGCTTATCAGAGAAACTCGTAATCCAACTAGAATGGGGCCTCCCGGGAAGTTCGTCGAGATGCGCCCAGTGATCTTACAGTCGGAAATTCGCATCTTTTATTGTGGGGCGGATATCTCTAATTTCTTCAAACACAAGTCAGTGTTCCAATGCAATGACTCTTGCATCCTTAAGAAGCAGTGATCCATTAGTGAGAAGACTGCCACCGAATTGTCTTCTAATTTCTCAAGGAGAAGCTTAGATTCTGGTGGTAGCGGAGGGAGGACACCCAGATGGGTGGAATTCTAAGTGACACGATTTTTGATTTGCGATGTAGAAATTCTTCATCGTTGCTGTTCTGAGAAATCCCCTTTCCTTATTTGAAAAACCCTTCCTGAAAGTTCCCATCAACAACGCCTGCAATCACCGCTTCATGGCCTTACCTAGCTCCGATCAGTTTCCGGTTGCAAGAGGTAGCGATAGATGCCATATAGGTAAATGGGAGAGTGTCCAGAACAGTCGTTAGAATCGGCAAGCTGGGCAGTGTGCTCTATTACATAGTCATTTACAGTGGCGGTGGCGGTGGCGGAGATAGGAGAATACAGGGGAATGGGAGAGATAAAAGAAAGAGATAGAGCGGTGGTGGCTCTGTTTTTAGAGAATATAGATGAGGATGAGAGGAATCCCTTTTCCTCAGTTACAGTGGTCGCTCTGTTTCTGCCAAAAATAAGATTTCTCAGATCAAAATATAGGTGCAAGTATGTAAAATTTTGGATGGGCTCGGGACAACCTAACTTGGTCAAACCGACCTTGGCTTTAGACATTGAAAAAGATTTGGGCGTGTTATATGCCAGCGAAATGATTCTAACCATACAAGAGAACAATTAATCAGGTCACAAAGTCGGCGGCATTTTCGACCGGTTTTGAGAAATTCACCGCGGAGTGCAGGTCCGTCCGGTTCGACACCATTTCTGATGGTACCGGTGGCCGTTTCATCCGGCCAGCGACAACTTTGTATAATAGTTTGGCTTTGGTTTTTTTTTTTTGAATTAAAATAAAGAGAAAATTTGGCATTTCATTTTTTTTTGTTAAAAACAGTAAGGATACTTAAAGACAATATATGAATAATAAGAGTATAATTTGTCAATTAACTAAATAATAGGGATAATTTAAGATATTTGTTTAAGATAAATTGTTGAACCCTTTCTAACTAGGGGTGTTCACGGGTCGGGTTGGGTCGGTTTCTTGGGATTTTCCCAACCGACCCGACCTGGTTGGGTTAGCTAAGGTGGGAACCAAAACCGACCCATTGACAGGCCAAACCAACCTGGTCGGTTTGAGTCGGGTTGGGTCGGTTTCGGTTTTGCTCCTGTACAAAGCCAAATAAAATCTGAATTAGTTGATAATTTGATATTCAAGAGTCCAAGATAAATCTAAATTTAATTCAGGTAAAGAATAAAATCAATAAATTCTTCATGTAAAAACAAGTGTCAATAATGGGCCTTCTAGAGTAAAAAACTAGGTAAATCTATGTAGGTAAATCAATAAAATAAAAATTTAGAAACCTTCTAAATTCTAATATAGGTAAAAAACTAAAAAAGGACACCTAATTGAATTCTAATTGTAATTGCCTAATGGGCCTTCTAGAGTTCTAATTCTAGTAGAAGTCTAAAAGTAGAAGATTATTAGGAATTAGGAAACTACTCAAACTAGGAAGTAGGAACTACCAAACTAGTAGAATACTAGTTCGGTTCGGGTCGGGTTGGTTTCGGTTTTCACGCAAGAAAACTGAAACCGACCCGAGATTTTCGATTTATGTATGTGCCCAACCCGAAATCGACCGGAATGGATGAAAACCCGGCAGACTCGGGTTGGGTCAGTCCGGGTTGGTCACTTTGGTCGGGTTGGGCATTCTTATGAACAGCCCTACTTCTAACCATTGTTGAAATCTCCCTAATTATGATTAGACCTATTATTCATGGGCTGGGCTTGGTTTGGCTTTTACCAAAATATGATTAGGGCCTGGCCTGAAGCCTGAGCCCGACATAGTGTAAGTCACGGGTCTAATTGTGATCATCTCCCCTAAACTTTTTGACATGATTGCAAGTAAACCCCCTCTATTAGGATCTTTTAAAAAGAATCACCAAAATGTCCAAAATATCCATACAATTACAATTGAGTTTTTTTTTTCAAAAAAAAAAAACAATACAAACTTTATAAATAATAAAAAAATAAGAGAATTTAAAGTTGTAGGTTTACATTTAAGTGATTGATATGAAGGACAAATTTAGAAAATAAATTAATTTTGGAAAAGGGATTGGAAAGGTTTAGGATAATGAAGAGAAAATTTGAAAAATAAACATTTTTGTCAAAAGTAACTACATGAGTATATTTTACATTTTCACTTAGAGGATTTTAAGATAGGGGTCTACTTGTAATTGTGTTAGAAAGTACAAAGAAGGTTTTATAAATTTACTAAAAAATAAATAAATAAAGACAAAGTACTTAAAAAACCCTATTTTATCAATTCTTACTGGGAATCATGCATTTCTTATGAAATTTGATTCTAATTTCCGTCAATTCCAATTCCAATTCAAGGAGGTTTCAATTCAACCGCAACCCATATGGACCCTAAAGATAATGAACAAGTCTCAAAGAGTTCATCCGCTCCGCCAAATAATTTTAGTTTAGTTTTTCTTTTTTATGATACGAATTTGGTCTGAGCCCATTGGATTGAGCAGCCCGTTATAACCCTGAAAATAGAGGAAAAGGTGGAATTCAATTCAAAAGAATCAGAACTTTTAGGCATGGTTTTCAAAATCGGACCAGATCAGATGGTTGGACCAGAAAAATCGAGAACCGGTTAGGCTCTGTTTTTCCCCCAAAATCGGATTTTCTCAAAAAAACTTTGATTTTGGTCAGCAAACCGCTGAACCGGGTGGTTAATCGTTCGAACCGTTCAAATGATTTTGACCGTTTATTTATTTATTTTTATTTTTTTGTCAAAACAGGCCAGTCGTTCGATTAGAGCGGTCGAACCATTTAACCCGGTAACTGAACCCCTGACTGGTTCGATCTCCAGGTTGGTTTTAAAAACCATGCTTTTAGGTAAGCTTCAACTTTAATTGAACATTTGAACTGCTTTCGTTGAGCCGATTTGAAGAAGCCGCTAAAACCGACTTCATTGAAAATGCTTTTTTTTTTCTTTATTAAAGTGAATTTGGGCCTTACAGGTTTTCGACCAAATATAACTTCCAATGAAACCCACCTTGCAAAGCTAAAAGCCACTGCATGAAAGTCCTTATAAAAAGACACTCTTCTAAAGTTTTTCACCAAATAAGCATGTCTAAACAGTGACGGGATCTGCTCCTCACAAATGGGCGCCTCAAAGGCACATCCACCGGTCATTGAGAACATCTCCCATGAATAATATCTAATAAGTAGATGATAGGATGTGCGTGTGAGGCGCCTGTAAAGAGCAGATCCCGTCTCGTCAAAGCATACTCAGCTTTCTTTCCTGTGAAATCTACCTTGCAAAGTCAGAAAGGCTGAGGTGGACAGCCCTTGAAATGATCACTGTTTGGGTTTTATGGATATTTCACAATTTCACCAAACACAAATCAATTCAAGTGGGGTCCATTTTGGAAATCCAGAATCCCCTAGACTTTAGCTCCCAAACCGAGAATTAGGATTTGTTCCTCAAACTGATCTCACAGCACATCCCACTATGCATTGAGAACATTTTCCTATGAATAATATATAAGAAAGGGAGATGTTATCATGTGTGGCTGGGACATGCTATGAGGAGTGCTGTGTGAGAGACAAATACATCTCACACCAACCTCAACACTTGCAACCAACCACACTTTCCGAATTGGGATTTGCTCTCTCATAGAACACACATCACACTAATCTCACAGCACATCCCACCTTGTATTGGGAACATCTCTCTATAAATAATAACACATAAGCATTGGAGATGTTCCCAATGGCAGTTGGGACATGTGAGATTGGTGTGAGAAACATATCCGGACTCCATTTCAGAAATATCTCCTATACTTGTAATGGGAGAGTCTGATCTGCTCTTTACTGAATCCTCCCTCAAGTCACACCGAACTCAAAATTATGCCTCAAAGGCACATTGTGAACATCTCCTATATTTATAAGTTATTAATCATTGGATACAATGAGATGTGCTGTGACTCTATGAGGAGTAAATCCCTATTCAGAAAAACATGCAAGGCTATGATATGGTGTGAATCATGTGAGGAACAAATGCAAATTTAAGGTGCTCCCTTAAGGTTATAGGTGTCGTTTGGAAAGCCTTTTTTAGAAGATTTTCTGATAAACTTGACAATTAATAGGCGATGTGAGCTTTTGCACTAAGAACTTAGTAACTTGATGACTATTTGATTAATGTGTGTCTTTCCGTGTAAAGATAAGTTGAAAAAATGCGAAAAACCCTATTTAGAACTTCTTAAAAATAGGTTGAAACGGGCTTTTCGCATTTTTTTAAGGCTACGGTTTTCAATAATTAGATTTTTCTCTAACCAAACGGAAAAATACCAAAATTAAAACTGCTGGATTCACCAAAATTCACCGGCTCGCGCAAAAAAAAAGCCAAACAGGGCCATATGTCTTATTTGAAAGAAAAGGAAAGGAAGGAAGGAAATAGAAACCAAATAACCAAATACAAGCTCACTTAAACTACTTAACCGAACAAACAAATATAATGAAAACCCAGAGATCGCGAACATCTTTTTCCGGATCATGTGATTCATATCCATTCATCCCGTGAGATCACCGACTCACTGACACCGTAGTCAACAACACATCGAGTCATCAACTATTATTTCTCGCCACACTCATGGTCTTACTTCATGGTTCCTAAAACAATGAACTCGCCATTCTTCTAACTAGAGGAGAGCCATGTGCCCACTTCATTCGAAAATGTTTGTGTGTCACCCCCTAACAGTTCCTCTTTGCCTCCCTCTCGTCGGTGGTGTTGTCGTTGTTGTACTTTCTCGAATTACATAGGTCGTGTTTATCTTCTAGGAAGACCAGAATCCATATCGCCATTGTCTGGTTTCAGTTCTGAAATAGAGACCCATCTGGTCATTTCAGTTGTAGAAACAGGTGAGTTAGTGGGAGTGCTTTTGGTGGAGGCTAGAGATGAATGGGCAAGAAGAAGGACAGACTGGGTTCGAAATTGCGGTGGCGATTCCGAAGAGGACTGTGAAGGAGCAAGATGCAAGTTGTGATTGCATTGAGCTTTTGGTTTCTGAACTGAGGAAGATGGGATTGATAGTTGAGTTCGTAGTTGGTCTTGCAGATGAGTTCATTAAGGTTTGTTCTTTCTTCTTTTCCCTCTTCAATGTGTTTTATCATTTTTTTTTTGAGGTCTCTGTTAGATATATATTTCTCTTGTTTTGTTACTCAAAGCCTAAAACGTCATCTGCTTTTAATGCTATTTTGTGCTTGTTCATCAATTTAGGTTGTATTATATTCAATGGTTTTCTGTTTCTTTTTAATTTTAATTCATTATTAATATAGTTTGAACTTACCGATCGAGACACTTTTGTCTATTGAACTTGATTCTGTCTCCCTTTTGGGTAATTTCCTCATTACATAGGAGTAAGACTCCAGGATACATCAGAATGCAACCACTTCCCGCTAAGCCAAATTGAACTTCCAAATCAGAGACTCAGACAACAAACAAGAAAAACTTGAGGAGCTGTAGACAACCAGAGAGGAATACGAGCTCTGTTGTTATTGCTGCCGTAACCTGAACTAGGCATGTATAGAGGTTAGATAGTCCAATGGGTAAATGGGCCTTAAAGGCCTATAACTGCTAACAGGTAACAGCTAGCCCGCTTAATAGGGCGCTAGTACTAATGGCTAGCAGACTATTCTCAAGTCTCTATGGCTTGAAAATTAAATATTAAACAATCCAAACATTTATAAATGGAACAAGCAAAAGAAAAATTTTCAATAAATTATACCTTGGGTTGGCTGCTATGATGCACACTACACAACATAAAAATAGTTTCCTAAGTGATGACTACTGCAGCCTATCACCTCAAATCAAGATAAAATCCATATCCCGGACTATCTCATTCACTCAAGCAAATTAGTTTCCTAGCAATGTGGAATCCTAGTCCTTTTCTCTCATAATAAAAGAGAGACAAGGAGCTTCTATTTGAGGAGCTGAGATTAAATGGTCAGCTGAGCCTGAAAATCAGGGAAGCAAAGAGAGGGATGGTGCTGTTAGAAGGTTTGGGGGTAATTGAAGGGTTCAAGGAGTTTGTAGAAGGTGCAAGTAACAAAGGCAAACAAAATAGTTGGAAAGAGTTTCTCTCAGAAACTGGAAGAAGGTTTGTTGTAGAGTGTAAGAGAAACCTTAAAGGTTATTTTATTTCTTTCACAGAATTTTTTGGCAAGGGTAGAAAGCAGATGGTCTGCCTCCCAGAAGGAAGGAAGAGTCAGGGCTGGAAGGCAGTTCATGGGGTCTTATGGGGGTCTTATGTGAACTGCTGCAACGCTTGGGTGCTAAAAGAGAAGTAATAGTAAAAAGGAAGATAAGCAGTTCTACCAGTCTGGTGAGCAATAATAAGCAAGAGACTCTTTTAGTGACAGCTGGGGCAGGCAAATACAGAATGGGAGTAAACTTACAGAGAGGAGATTGGGAAAGTAAGCTGATAGTTAAAGCCTCAGTTCATATACTAGACTAGAGGAAAGTTGCAGATCAGTTAACAGCAAGTTTAAATTGGTAGAGCACGTTTATTTAACACCCTTTGATAAGGACAAGGCTGTGCTGGATCTGCTTGAGAATAGAGTAGAAGTTGAGGCATTAAATATCCAAGCTGATCTTGGAAATCTCACAGTATCAAAATGGTGTCCGGGATCAAACTCCAAAGATTTCTTTGCTGAAGATGGAGTACTGGTGCGCATCTTAGGACTTCCCTTTAACTTGTGGAAGCAAGAAGTTGCTGAAGCCATTGCTTTGATGTGTGGAGGATCATTAGGAGGTGCCTTTTGGGGAGACCTTTGTTCAGCTTCCATTTTATTGAATGGTGTAAAACCTGAGGAGATTCCTCGGAAGATAGAGGTGCTARTTGAAGGGCTCTGTTACTCAGTATGGCTGGCTTCATCCATTGAATCGGTGCTCTGGAAAGAGGCTCGTAGGGAGGGAGATGAGAAGGTTGAAGAAGAAGAACCGTGTGGCAAGAAAGGATTGGATGATTCAAACAAGAATAGAACTTTCACTAAAATGGAAAAACAAAGGCTRGAGAAACAAAAGGGTAGCATTCARGGGATGGGATTTAGGCGTGTGGGAGCAGTGAAAAGTCTGGAGGGTGGCAGGTCTTTTGCACAGGTCGTAACCGGCGCCAATCTGCCTTTTTTGAACAAGGAAAAGGGGCTGGTCCAGGGAAGAACTGAAACTAGACCGGTTAAAACCAAACCGAGCCAGGGGTTGGACGCGTGTGACCCTTTTAAAAATCACGTGAGGTCGCGGTGGTTTAGGAATGGGCCAAAGCCCATGCGGAATGTTTTGGGTGCGATCAAAGGCCCAAATGGGTCAGCGGGCCCGACCCAGTTTTTTAAAAAGGCGTGTGAGCCTTTAGTGAACCACGTGATTGGGAACACGACTTTGATAGACGAGGTTAACGGTCTATCGTCGTCCCCAGTAGCGAGGCAGTGGGTTTCGCGACGAAGGCTGAAGGAGCTTAGCCCCCTGCGACGCCCCTCAGAGAGGCCGAAGCCAAGATACGCTAGAGGAAGAACTGAAGAGAACGAAGAGAAGAATGAAGGTTGGGTGCAGTGCAGTGAAGGTGATGAAGAATCAGAGGACTTTTCTGTTGATGGTACTAGCGTGGCCAGTGTAAATGACGAAGGCAGTTGTGCTGGAGGTGACATGGATGGGTGGAATATTGCAAGTTTATT